TTCTTTGGTATGTCCTCCACTTCAGAAAACCGGAGGAAAGTTCTCAGAATTGATATGGTCTGAAATTTCCCATATACAATTATCACATTGGCCCTGCTCTTCATGAGAACATGGTATATATGTAATCCTTCATCCATAACATCAGTAAAATCATTATAGAAATCTGCTTTTGGTATCTGTGCTATGAACTCAGTGCAGATGCCATTCTCAGAAAATGTAGGGATCACTTCCTGGACAAATTTCTCTGCTTTCTCATCCTTCACTACAAAAATCCCAATCCAGATCCATCTTAAATACCTCAATAGCAGCATGAGACCCTCATGTTCATGGGATTCACCTGGAAACATTTGCTGGAAGAAAACTGCTTGAGTCTCTTTATCCATGTCTGGAGCAGAGCCATAGGTCAACTAAAGGAAGACAAACATATGCAAATAGAAAGGTCTAAGTTTTTCTTGCCAGTATGTTTACACCTCCAAACTCGACTGTGTTGTTTCTCTGTGTCATATAATATATGTGGTATGTGGATATCAGTGCATATATATGTACATGTACATACACACACACACACACAAACAGACACACACATGTCAGGAATCTCCTGATAGTCAGAACAATTAACCAGTCGAACAACTTGCCTCCAGAAGTTTTAAATGCTTCAGCACTGGAGGTTTTTAAGAAGAGATTGGATAACCATTTGCCTGAAATGGTATAGGGTTTCCAGCCTAAGCAGGGGTTTGGGCTAGGTCTCTTGCAACTCCGTTATTCTATTCTAGAGGCTGGCAACCTTAAACATTCAAAGAGCCACAAAACATTCTTAGCCTTAAACATTCAAAGCCTTAGCCTTAAACATTCAAAGAGCCACAAAAGAGCTTCCTAGCTGGAAGCCCCTCATTCAATTCTTGAGCCAACAGACTCTATGGCGGTCCCCCCTAGTGGAGTGTCCTGTTTCTTCTACCTGTCCTAACCATAAGACCTATCAATTGTGGAGCCAACCAGTAACAAAGAGCCACAGCAAAGGGATGAAAGAACCACATGTGGCTCCAGAGCCACAGGTTGCTGACCCCTGTTCTATTCTATTCCATTATGTTCTGTTCTGTTCTATTCAGTGGTGGTATTCACTCGTTTCGGTCTGGTTCTGGCAAGCAGGTAGGAGCCAGTAAGAAAGAAATACTTAGACTCTTGTAATTAGAGAAAAGATATCTTTTACTGGAAGTTAGTGGTAGCAACGAGAAAATTCTGAATCTGGGGAAATAGGCACATACATCACATATATCAAGGGAGTGAAATGTTCCCACCCCCAATAGTTCAAACGGTTCTTCCAACTAAAAGTTGTAAACTTCATCATGTGGACATCTCCAGGTGGTGATGATTAGTTGACATTGGCTTACTCAGATAAAGGTTTGCAATTGCGCAGAGAAGAGAAAGCTAAGCAGGAATGAGAAACCCTCCTCAGTTTATACAATATCAGTTATTAACACTTTCAGCTCATGTCCCATACATTTCCCCCTTCCACCCCCATTCCTCATGGCAGCCAGAAAGAAGCAAAGGAAAGGAGGAAGATCTTGAAGGCTCACAATATCTTTAATTTCCCTTCAAAACTTTAATTTCAGCTTAAGTTTTGCCTAGTTAATGTCAAAGTAAATTCACATAGATTTCTTCTTTAAACTCCTTTTTTTAAGTTCAAAGCCGAGTACAGCTGTCAAAAGATACTTTCCTCCTTTTCTTCACTGCTTTAGAAATCTTTTTTTAAAAAGACTCTAATAAATTTAATTCCAGGGTACCTTGCATTTAAATGTTGTTTCTATTTATCCTGGTCAGTCAAGCCATTCCCTTAGTCTCTCCTCCTGCACAAAGCATGGGCAGCAGGAGGAGCCGCTGGCACTGTGTAAGGTAAGAGAGGCTGCCAGTAGCACTGGAAGCCAGGCCAAGCAGTGCAAGTGAGCTTGCAGTCCCCAAGAGGGGTGGGCCACATGGGCTGGCCTGGGCTGGCCTGCCGCTGTGTCTGCTCATGCCTAGAGTGGAGCGTTGGTCAAAGGGTGGTATGCCAGCAGCAAGCTGGGCGGCTTGCTCTTCTGTGATCCTGCTGTAGGTGTCACTGCTGAGTCCTGCTCTGGCTGGCAGAGGAGATGCGGATGGAGTCCATTTTAAGTCAGCTCCTGCACCCTTGCCAGGGCTGCAGCAGGGGAGGGAGAGCCAATGCCCTTTGCACAGATGGGAAAGTGAAGGCATCTGCCTCTTGGTCCTGCGCAAGAGTCTCCGGGCCAACCGACCAAAGTGGTGCATTTTGTGGCACCCTTGCCAGGGAAAGTGGGCTGGTGATCTAGAGGAGAAACAGGGCTGTGGGGCATCAGTAGACTAAAATGCACCAAGGAGTTGGGAGATTTTGGTGTTAAGATTTTCATGCAAAAAAATAAATAGTACCAGATGCGTTCCTGAGACAAGAAGGACTTAAGCCTGGATTCCTAGGCTAAGTGAGGCTGTGCATGGGACACTCCTTTTAGCCATTAAAGAAGTGACGCAGTGGCTAGGTGAGTGCATGGGGGGGAAATTAAGGCACCCTCAAAAAGATGGCCTAGCCATTTTTTCAGGGGTCAAAAAAATAAGGCCCGGCCTTATTTTCTGAGAAACACAGTAGTAGCTCTATCTCTCTTATTCTTTAGTTGGGACTCATGCTAATGTACTGTCTCTAAAGCTCTAGATGAAGTAGGTCTATCTCTCTTATCTTTTAGTCAGGACCCACACTGTTGAATTTTCCCTGAAGTTCAAGATGTTGTAGCTATCTTGTGCAGCATTGCAAGTCTTCTATTCCTCTTCTTGGGAATTTCTTGTCTATGCTGGTGTTTCATTTTTGTAGCCTTTGATTGCACTTGAGCAATCACATAACTTTTCCTTGGAGGCATCATTACATCAGTAAAGTACATGTAAGAAAAAGACACTTGGGCCTGGTCCTGTTACATCAACCACTGTGGTGAGAATCAGAGTTCTAATTGCCCTGGCCAACAGCCTTGGAAACATTTTACAGGGAATAGCTGTTGAGGTGATTATCTGCATTTGCAGGCATCTCCCCCAACAACTTGCCCTCTCTGCTTAAAGCTGAGGGCCCTGAGTGTTTTTTTTAAAGAACCAATCCTCCTTGCCAGAGGGAGCCCCCTTGTGGAGTACTGTGAAGCTGTTACAATGGCAACTGCACAGTAGAAGTCATTTTAAGGGAGCATTATAGAAGCTACTTTAAGGCACAACAGGCTGTATGTATTCGTTCACAGAGTATAAATCATCTATGTACCAAGTTTGGTTGAAATTGCTCTAGGTGTTCCAGAGTTATGCTGGAACAGATGATACATAGCTATCTACCTACCTAGATAGATAGGTAAGTAGGTAGATAGATAGATATTTGTGTTTGTGGGTGCGTTCAGATGTATTCATGTACTAATTGTGGCATTAAAATTAGTATTTTCATTAGTTGAAACCATCAATAAAATCTGTTATTTCTTCTTTTAGAAAGAAATTATCCTGCACATTACTGGAATTATCAATGTTCTTAAGCCATGTATTGTAAACATACTGCATCATTGTTTCAAGTGCTATCAACCAAAAGACCAACTGGGTGCAGCTTATGAAACAGATATTATTAAAAACCATTCAAAATTAATTGGTTAGAACTGAAGACACCAATGGTATATTATTATATGATGTTGGATAATCTCTTTTTTTTAGATATTAAAAACACTTTTTTAAATAAATTTAAACATATACAATTTCAAAAATACAAAAACAATAATACACAAATAACACATAATTCTTTACATTTGTTATCGAATTTGGTAGGTCCTAAAAATCATTGTTGGCTTGTACTAATCACATCTTCACTCTTTATCACATCCTAAGCACTAAATAGTTCACAATATACTCTATTTATTTTCACGGTGGTTTATAATTACTCTTCTATTATGCACACATTCAAATTTTTTAGCTAATAATCAAAAGAATATTGTAAATGGTTAATAATAATAATAATAGTAACAGAGAAAAGACAGTTTAAAACCATTAATTGTTCTTATATATTTAATATAAAACACTGAATATAATTTGTATCTTAGGCTCATGTTTCCCTTTTTATTGTCTACCCACTTATACCATTTATCCCATATTTCGTAGAAATCTCTATTGATCTTGGATAATCTCAACCAGTGCAACATCATTCTTAGTTTTCCTCCATTGGCACTCTACCATCCTTTGGCTCTTTTCAGCACCTCCACCTTCTCTGTACATCAAATGGGAGTTTCAGGATCAATGGATCAGAAAAAGGCATGCAGTGTGATCCTGTCCAGAGCCTTGCCTGCTTTCTGATTCCATTTGGGACAAACTCCTCCACAAAGCCATGCAGCAGAATTTCCAGGATATTTTCCAGATCCTTCTGAACCCCAAGTGGGTCCATTTTTTGTCAACTATTCAAATAGTTGAGCATTGGAAAATCTCAGAGCCACCAAGGCATAGTCTGGACACAACAGGGGATAATGACAGATTCCCCAGCAATTCATGTTACTACTGTTCCAAAAACAAAATAATATATGGAGTATGATCATTATCCTGAGTTGAGGCTTGGTTGATCTCGGGTAAACCCATAGCCATCTCCTTGGGATGAGATGGTTTCTCAGCTCACATAGTTACAAAGACTGCAAATTCCAGGCAGATCTTCTGAATTTTTCATAGGTAACCCTACAAATCAGGTACACTGAAAAACTGCCAGTCAAGACAAATTTACAATAATTAGTCAGAGCTGTCTATCATACATGAAATATATCCATATATCAATTTATCCTTATGCTGTAATGTTCCCCAATTTTTCCAGAAGGAAAAAATATTCGGATCTATTTTAAATCTCAGAAATGGGCAATATAGAAGGCCAATCTAACTGCACATTGTTCTCTGGCTTAAGTGTTCTACAGGGGAAGATCTCCAACATCGACAAATAAAAGATATCAGGCAAAGGGAAAGAATTGTTAAAACTTTCTCTTCATGAGCTGAAGTTTATCATTCAGTTCAGGTCTCATCACAATGATAAAACACTTGGGAAGAAAGATGCACACCAATAATCCAGCACTGGAGGAGATCATGGAGAAGATCTCCACAGCCAATGTATATTTTCCCCTTGTGCTTAGATACGTTGGGATAAAGCACAGCCAAACACTGCAGAAGACCAACATGCTGAAGGTGATGAATTGAGCTTCATTGAAACTGTCAGGTAACTTCCTAGCTAGAAAAGCAGCAGAGAAACTAACTAGACCAAGGAAACCCATAAAGCCCAAAACATAGTAGAACATGACCGAATCTTCATTGCACTGCAGAATGATTTCTTCAGATATTGAGTATGCATCAAAATCTGGGTACGGTGGGGATGTTATCAGCCACACAGCACAAATACACATTTGGACAAGGGAGCAGGCTAGAAGAATGAAACTGACTATTCTTCCCCCCACCCATTTCCTCAATCTGGTACCAGGTTTGGTGGCCGTGAAAGCTAGAACCACAACAAAGGTTTTGGCTAAGACACAAGAAACTGCCACCGAAAAGATGAGTCCAAAAGCTGGCTGTCGAAGGAGACACACAATTGTATTGGGTCTCCCGAGAAATAGAAAGACACAAAGGAAAGAGAGGAGGAGGGAAACTAGGAGAATGTAGGTGAGATTCCGGTTGTTGGCTTTGACGATGGGAGTGTCTTTGTGTTTCATGAAGATTGTGATGACCAAAATTGTCATCAAAGAAAAGCAAAGGGAAAAAATGATCAGACTGATCCCCAGGGGTTCTTCATAGGACAGAAAAGTGATCCGCTTTGGAATGCACATATTTTTGTCAGGGTTTGGATATTGACCTTCTGGACATGGAGAGCAGTCATCCATATCTGAAAAATAACATATTGATTGGAATTGATACCATGGATTATAGACAGTTTTGTACCCTCCTGGCTTAGTCCCATTATACTGTATTTGGAAATGTCCTACCTTTCTTTTTTGATATTTTCCCCTCTGGACACAGGTGGCAAGTATAGCAGCAAAACGATTCTCCTTCTAACTTTTCCTTGCTGTATCCTGCCTCACAAGGATCATTACACAGAGATAAAGGCAATGTCTATCAGTGAATGAAGAAGAATATTTTAAGATGTACAACAAAAAGGAAATATTTGGAGAGCTATTATTGCTGTGGAATCAGGTGCATAAAAATGGATTCATATATTAAGTAATGCAATAGTGAAGTAATGTGATAACAGCATTTTACATGTAACTGGTCTGAAATAACAATTCATCTATCCTTGTTGGTATGTTTGGCATTCTATAACCATCATCAAAACTCTCCTAAGACAATCTTTGTGCTGGTTAGATAACAATTATTCTCTCAACTTCTGAATTTTGAAGTTACCAGACTGGTGAATTCTACTACACTGGATTGTACGTTTTACTTTGAAGCCATGAAACTATTGTACAAAAGTAACAGAGGGCCATGATAAAGGGTACAATATTTTATATTAACTATAACAACAGTAATCATTCTTACACATATTTTTTTTCCTAATCTAGAACATTTATACTTAGGTTCGTTCACAGATGATGCTCTAAGTCTTTCATCAATAAAGAGACTTTTATGTCACATAAAGGAAGGGAGACCAATCTAGATTTAAACAACTAACCTGATTAAATCCTACTGGCCACGTGATGGAATCTACAGAAATATTGAAGAATTTGTCCTCTGGAGCTGTGGGATCAATGATCCCTACTTTGACCCTGACAAAAGATTGGTTTGGGAATGAGATCCAGTTGATAATATCATATCCACCAATGAATTCTCCATTTTCATCAAAGGAGACCTCCTCACCAACACTGTTGTTGAATCTGACACTTCTCAGAAAAGAATGAACCTTAAAAACAGAGACAGCCAACGAGGGACAAAGAGTGAAAAGGACAGAGAAGAGAGAAGGAATTCGGGTATTTAAAACATACACATAGATGGTTCTTTAAACAAAGAAAATAATAAAACTTTTTAAAAATTTTTTAGTTGTAGGCCAGTGTCAAACAAATAACATATTTCTTTGAAAATAAACCATATTCCAAAAATAAGCCCTAGCATGTTTTTTACATGTGTGACTAATGTAAGCTCTGCCCCCAAATAAGCCCTATTTAAGAGCCTGTGCAACCAGCTATGTGTATGGTTGCTTACAGTGCTGCGGCCATGAAGTGAGATGGGATGGTGGTGGTTTACAACACGGTCCCCACACTGGCTTACCTTAGTGTCTCCACAGACAAGCATCCATGTCCTGACACTGTCCTCAGTGTTGCAGCACCACCACTAGCCATATGTAGCAGAAGCCCATGTGGACACCGGCCCCCTTCTTTTGCTTGCTCATGGCCACAATGGAGCAGGAGGCTGAGTGGTATGCTGGTGCAGTGGCCATGAGGTGAGGCAGGTGTCAGGGCAAGGATGGCCTGGCTGTGGTGGCCCTGAGGTAAGACAACACAGGGTATGTGCGGCAGCTCCATCCTTCCTGCCTTGTGGTGGTTGTGCTGGCACTCTGCACTGCTCCTGCCCCATTGTGAGCAAATTGAAGAAAAAATAAGCCCCAGTGCTTATTTTGGGAACCAAAAGAAAATAAGACCCTGTTTATTTTTTTGGAAATACTGGTAACACATCAGTCATTCCAAAAGAGAGGAAGAGGTAAAATATGAGGAAATGAAAAATAATTAACATAAAATAGCAAAATTTAAAAATCAGGAATAAATTAATTAGCAATTAGTTTAATTGCTAAAACCACATGAGTCAGATAACTTCAGATAAATACATAAGAAATACTATGATGCCTATAGCTATAGAAGTTTATAGTCATGCTAAGATTTGATTTGGATTATTGCACACTTGAAGTAAAGTAATAACAAAATAAAACAAAAACTAATTGAAAAGATTTTTGTTTATGTATGTATATTCTCTCCCTCTCCCACAAGCAAATGCACTTTCCAGTTATGTTATTTTTATACTATTATTGTCGTATAAATTTGAATATATTTTGTTAAACAAAGTTTTATTTTTTATAACAAACATATGAACAAAACATAAAAACATATAAACCTCTTTCAATTATGTATATAGAGTGTGTCAGTTGGTTACAATCTTTTGTGCTATCCTTTTTTTTTACCATTCCTCACAAGTTATATAAATTCTTACCTTATCGGTCTAGCTTGTGCTTATATAATATCAATTATTAAACATTCATTTGACTATTTTTCCATCATTTTATATGAGATATTCTAATTTTGGTTATGATTTAATCTTATATATTCATCCAATGGTTATAGGTTTTATATTGTATTCTTTATCAGTCTATTAACTTTTATTGTAAGGCTTACTAATCTATTTCTTTACCATATCTTTTTATCTAACCATTGATAAATTGAATCCCACATCATATAAAATTGTTTATCCTCTTGTTCTCTAATTTCAAATGTCAATTTACTCATTTCGGCACAGTCCATAATTTTCTTAATAATTTCCTCCTGCATAAGTATTTTTTCATTTTCCCAATTCTTAGAAAATACAATTCTAGCTACTGTTAAAACATTTACAATCAAATATATCAATTCTTTACAATATATTTCTGGTATAATTCCCAATAAAAATATCGCAGGTTTAAAGTCTATGTGTTGTTTTGTCATTTTTTCCAGCCCTGTGCGAATTGTAGTCCAATATCATTTTGCATCCGAGCGTGTCCACCACATGTGGTAATATGAACCAGGTATCTGATGACATTTCCAATATTTATCCGATTTATTCTTGAACATCCTCCCAATTCTCATCGAGGGTAAGTGCCATCTGTAAAACATCTTATACAAATTTTCTTTATATGCAGTTGACATTGTCATTTTATAATTTTGAGACCACAATTTTTGCCATTTATCTAAATCAATCCCATATCCAAAATTTTTCCTCTACACAATCATTGTTTCTCTAATTTATACTCTAGCAAATGTCCATAAAGTTTTTATATTACTTTGTCATCAGTACCTATCAATTTTTTATCTAAATCAGTCAACTTATCATAGATACCTTCTGTTTTAACATCTTTATCAAATCTAGATTGTATTTGCAAATATGAAAACCAATTTATTTTAACACCTTGTTTTTCCAATGCTTGCATAGATTTAAGTTCACCCTTTTCATTTAATATCTCACCATATCGTAGTGTTCCTTTTTATATATTATTGGATAGGAAAAAGCTTCAATAGTAGATAACCATAGCAGAATTTTTAAATAATATTGCTTTTTTACCTTTTCCCAGTTTAGAAACAATGCTTCTCGAATATAAAGTCTTCTGAAATACCCCTGCATTTTAGTTCCCTTATACCAGAGGAAGGCATGCCACCCTAACAACAGGTCCCATCCTTCTAAATTCAAAAGTCTAGTATTCCTTTGTGTTACCCACTCCTTTACCCACATCAGACTCGTTGCTGGGTAGTATTATTCCCAATTGGGCAAAGCAAATCCTGCTCTTATTCTTGCATCTTATAGCAATTTAAGTTTTATTCTTGCTTTCTTCCCCTGCCAAAAGTATTTTAGCACTATTTTGTTTAACTCTTCAAAGAATTCTTTCCCTAATCTGATTGGAATTGTCTGGAATAAACACAAGATTCTAGGCAATACGTTCATATTAACTGTAGACATTCTCCCAATCAGTGATAATTGTAAATTTTCCCATTTTATCAAATCTGTCGCAATCTGTTGTTTAAGTTTGAGATAATTGTCCTCCTTAAGTGTGCTACATCTTGCTGTTATATGTATCCCTAAATGCTTAACCTGGACCTGGATCCCCAAAACTTCCTCCAATTCTTTCTTTCATCTTACAAACATGTTCTTTGCTAAAATCTTTGATTTATCTTTATTTATTTTCAAACCTGCTACTTTCCAATACTCTTCTATCTTTGCTATCAGTTTAGGTGCAGACTCCAATGGATCCTCTAATATAAATACCAGGTTATCTGCAAAAACTTGTAATTTATACTCTTCTTTTTAAATTTTCATTCCTTTTATTTCT